GCTAGGTGTTCTACGGCCATTTCTTCAACATACGAATTTAATATACAGCTTTCGATCTCTATGGAAATGAGAATCTCTCACCGCATAATGGCAGTATGTAGCTTTTCCAAGAGTTCTAATGGCGCTCTTCAACGCTTCAAGTGATTGGAAGGCTACGAGATACACTGTGCTTAAGAATAGTTATCGGTTACTGGGACAATGTGAGAAACGACAGAGCTCGTACATGACACTTTACTCTCCTCCATAACAGTAATTAAAATGTACTTTGTCGATGAGTACTGACATTTTATAACAATTTTCAGACATAATTAACCAATTATAACGCAGTTAAAACTAGGCATTTAATTGGACGAAACGGGTTGAAAAATATTTGAAAATGGGATGATAAAACTTTTTTTTAAAGGGTGAAAAAAGATTATTTAAAAAAAATAAAAAAGGTCAGCTGTTCAATAATCTTCAAAATTATTGGAAGATGGGGATGAAAAAATTTTTCAAAAGGGATGAAAAACATTTTTCTTCAAGAAAAAAATTTCACTCGAAAAAAATAAAAAAGTGGGCGTGCAATTGATGTTAACCCAAGACTGATAAGCGAATAATTAACAAGGTCAAAATATGACTCAAGTTGAATGAATAGATTGGGCTGTCCGAAAGTTAGAATAAAATATATTATGGGTTTAAAATAACAACAGGCACTACATATTTAAATTAATGGTCAGTTTGAATCAGGCAGCGCTCCAGGGGTATCGCGACACTTTTTTGCGCTACTTCTTCATTTCTGCTTTGTGCACAACCAAATTTTGAAATACATTATGAATAAATTTGAAAATCTATTTTCCGTTTTCATAATTAGGTAAAAAGGGGTTTTTTTAGTTTGCGTTACATGGTATCGCGAAGTCCTTGAAAATTCATTATTCAGGTGCTGCTATAATAGTTTTTCGGTGTTTGCATCGCAGATTAGCAATTGTTTCTAGTTAAGTATACACTGATGGTAGGCAAATCTTTTATTTTTATATGAAATAGCAAGATTCAGGCATATATCGTCATAAAAATTGTATTGTCGTCAAGGCTACCAAAACTGCGTAACAACTAACGATACCATGTTAAGATTTATCGTTTTTCCCATCTTTATCACAATTTCTGCTGATTTTCAGTGTTTTGTTCGACTTTTATGGCAGAAATAGCTTCATAGTGAAAACATTAAGTGTCCTGAGTGTTGTAAATATTATGTATATGCTATAGATGATAATAACATCTTAAGATGTTAATATTGCCTCCTACAGTTAGATATATTAGCCACCAGATGATTGTATTGCAGGAAATAAATCATAATCATGCAGTAGAGGTATAATTATGTGGAGGTTTTACCAGAGACCAAGCTAAGATAGCATTACTACCTCTTGTGTAGATGTACACATGTATTTAACTGTATCAAAGCATGTCATTGAGATATGGTTGTAGCTTTTTTCTTTTTTTTTAATTCAGAATTCACGGGACGACTACCTTAATTCTCAATAGCCGTGCAATTGTTTTGATGTTATACTTACATTTCAATAAATATTATTTTTCAAACAGCTTACTTTTTTACTTACATGGGAAGCTGTAGAAATGTTGAGAATGTGTGTTTGAGTGTCAGTGAACAATTGAATAAATGCACATTCCTTATAAATAATACATCACGTGTTTCTTCTTTTGCAGATAGTTTCACATAACTATGAATTAGCAATTGCATTGGATATGCAAAACAATCGATGCTTAAGCTTCTGCTCAGGTGTTGTACAATAATACGCTTTACCTTTTAAATAAAAATTTTCAAAAATATGCCGGTTTTCCACTGTATTGCAGATTTATTTTGGTCTGTTGTTGAAAATAAAGGCGAACATAAGAGACCTTTGGGTTTATGTCAATGGATGGAAAACAGGGAGTTCTGTGTGCATTTAGGCGAAAAGTAAACAATTCAGTGGACATTTAGGCGAAAATTCGGTAATTTGGCAGATATTTATGCGAAAAGTGAGTAATTTATCGACAAAACGGCGAAAAAAGGGGAAATCCACATTATTTCCCACGGACAGGCGAAAAAAGCGACATTGTGATGAGTTTTCCCCTTTTGCTACCAAAGCATTTACCACTTTATTTTCCCTTTTTGGGTTGTCTGGGGAGCTTCAATATCTTGGCTGCCGGTATTATTGCAAAAATACCTAATATCAGAAATAAGTACTGATATAAAGCTGTTACGAGAAAGCACTGAAAAGTACGATTCGATAGTCAAGATATCTTGATCTAAGGTGACCAGATTGTGTGAGATCCTATGTGATGATCTTCAGAAATCAACCAAGGCCTGTCTAGCTTACGTGCTGATGCCGTTAATGAGAATTACTCATAACTTACGTGGGACTACAATAGAATATGCATCAAGAATTGCAGGTTGCACAGGACGATTCAAAGTAAATTCACACAGTATTCTTTATATATGTTCATCGTCTAAGTTTCCGAAGTGCAACCTGTCTAAAGAATTGAATAATACAATCCGTGTATGTTGTGACCCAGACGTTCCTAAGCAACGCAAGAGATAAAGGAAATAAGCGTGATTGACTATCCAAAGGAAGAATGTGCTAAATGCACTTTCGATCTGTAATTGAATACTGGTTTCCGTTTTTATACTAGTTTCTGATAAACATTTATACTGAAATAACTTTCCTGTCTATCTTATTTCCAGCTAGCTTCGCAAGCGTTCAAAAACCTAACGGGAACAAATCCTGAGAAATAGAATTCTTATCTATCGTGACAGGTCGAAATTCGAACTACATGTTCAAGGTAGCAGTATTTGGTAGACGGTATGTATGACTAATCGCGTGTGCGCCAAACTGGTAATTATTACACAAGAACGCGAAACAACATCCCTGTCTCACAGCCACATAAGACTGAACAGTACACTCCCTGCCGTTACGCTATAAGAATAAATCAATGGCCATATAAATGAATTTATGTAAAAGTAAAATGATTACAATATTAGAACTTCCTGTTATCAAGAAGCATAGCTATGATCTGTATTAACAATGGATTCTGATGTTGTAGCTTCATCATTAGCACCGTTTGAACTCATCACTTGTGCGCATGTCTTCCGATGCTTCGAGGCATGAACGGATGAGTTTACTTGCCAAAGGTTCACTAAGAGCATGGACTGAGTGGTAGTTGTTAGTGAACTTCTCTAGCAGATCAACACTCCCTGTAGAGAATGACATGTTGTCCAGCGCACGAAGAACCAAGTCCATTATGTATTTTCATTTTCACCGGCTGCTATGTCGAAATAAGTCTACAAAGCTTATAGAGATAAGGGAACACACACTTACCTCCACGAATTAGATCTTTGGAATGTGCATACAGAATATGACCACAGGGCAGCATGTTGTCACTGAAACGCTCACAAGCACATCATGCATGTGAAGTATCAACGACATACATCATACACTTGTTGTAGCACCGTATGTATTCTCCTTCTATAAATCCGTGTCTCATTGTCCTAAAACGTTTATAACTTACAGATACAATTTTAGCTGCAAAAGATGTGAACTCACTCATAGGAATTCAAAATGACATTGGAACCTGGAATTCATGATACATTTAACTATATTTCTTACCTAAAGAAATGGAAAACGTTGAAGATTTTTTACAGCGTCATATGGATGCAAACATAGGTCAGTCTGTTTTACCCCAAATTTTTCAGAACGTCAAAAGCAGGGAATCACCTCTTCTGAGACGTTCTTTTAGGTGTTTGTGAGCATTTTCGACACAGTTGTTTGTGTGGTTGCCCAGGCTTAATACATGTCGCCGGTAACAGCGAGCCCACATTGACTTCCTGGCAATCCAGTAATCTTTTATGTAGTCATACGCTCGTGAGAAATGCGTCCTTAGATGTTCGTACTTTCGAGTATATCTGAATATAATGCGCTATGAAAGCGAAGCTCACATATCAGACCGTCTAGTCTTCACAAGGTGTTCCAAGCATTTGCGCACATCAGGATTTCGGAACTACAGATAATTTGTACAGCTAACACATACCTTCCTGAAAAACGCTATCAGGGCATGGAATGAACAAAGTATTATGTTAGAATGACTGTGCGTAGACTGCACAGCCGAAATTTCGGTCGCTGCCGAATCTATAACGAAAGTGCGTGTACCATAAGTACCGTACATTATATGGTTAAAACATTCCGATAGTTTTTAGACATCTTCGCGTCGTTCTTGACTGCAAAGAGCATACATAACAGTGTGCCCTTGCCCAAGACTATCAGTCACCACTAGCTGGAACAGTGGAAAACTTTCAGATAAATTTATTACTAATCGTTACCCGACTTTATTGGTCTGATAAGTCAAATCAATACATATTACCTCCAGGAACGTGAGGTAAACAGCTATTTGCTCTCTGTGGCTGAAGCAAATCATAGTCATGTTCCCATTTTCATTGAATACTTTAACTTCAGTATTTGCTTGAACGCGCTGTAAAATGTCATTGATATTTTTAGTGTCTAAACTCAATTAATTACAATGTGACATATCTCACGAAAAGGTACTTCAGAGTTGGATCATCATTGTTCTTTTTGCATACTGACATAACGTACTTAGTATGCGTATACTAAAAAAATAATTATTAACCACAGAGGTCATATTACCTTATGTACTTCTTTCAAACAGGTCTCAAAACTGTCCCAACTTGTAAATCTTAGAGATAACATAATATCATTGAAGATTCGTCCTATATCATGCTTCATCACGATGGCATCGTCTTCGTTACTTGAAGAATGAACGTTATCAGACAATGTGGCTTAACTCAATTCAAATCTAAAAATGTCTTGATTTGACCGCTTCTGAAAATTTTCACGAATTGTCGATGTGACGCACCAATCATTTTGCGACAGTTTGACCTTCAAGTGCTCGCAACCCCCATCAGGGGACGATACCCTAGGAGCGTTGCCTTTGAATCATCAAATCAGTAGTAAACAACCATACACTTAAAAAATCTATATAAACCTGACACGTTCTATTAAAATATGACCTACTACTTTGAACAGGAAGATCAGGTGAGTGTTGACAGAACATACGAACTCAAATTGAAAATCGATACAATGAGAGAACGTTGTTTATTCCATCTGAACCATTTTAGATACAACATTTTATCTTTTCAATCGATGTCACTTATTCTAATTGTCGTCTGGCTTACTGAGTTCTTCAAATGCCAGGATCTCTGTGAACAATGTGAATGGACGACCTCGGAAAATGTAATTTTTAAAAATTGTTCATATCGATATGTAAGTAATCAGTTTGATCGTTATACACATACTCAGTCTCAGCATTATATGTACTTACAGAGCATCAGTATGAATCAGTCTCAGCCAGCTGTGAATACAAGTTTGGATAAACCCAATGATATTTTGGCGAGTTGAATACAATTTGTGATTAAGGTACTTTTCACTATGTTTACATCTTTTTAGTTTGTTACACCGAAACTGTCGTTTAAATATTACAGTAGTCAAGTCCCAACTTTCACTATTATTTCTCATGGTAAGTCAGTAATTTTCTTTGACCTCAAATTATAACATAACTTTCTTGATAACATTTCTGTCCATAAATCCAAGTTGATTCCATTTCTTTATTGAGTTAGTTTTATGCCCCTTAAGACATGCAAAAATTCTTCGGATATCCTTTCTTGTTCAAATTGTGTCGATAGTGTGACGCTTTATAGCAATCCAGATGCTGTTCATGCAATTCATTTAAGTCATTAGTTTATTTCATTCAATGTAAAATCATCAATCATATTTCATGTTTTCAATAAATAAATCCAGGTGACATAGGTATATACGAAGAAGAAAACCTCGGATATATTGAAGCTTTCATACCAATTAACATATATCCTGAATTTGAGATTTTGAATGAGAGTGATTTATTGTACTATTCAGTTATAATTTGTTTCGTTACTTATTCCTACACTTCATTTTGCATACATTATTCTTTATTTTACTTGATTATTACACAAAAGCTTATCAGCACATAGTGATTGTTTTGTTCGTGTGATTTACGTACCAGAACATGTGTGTTTCACAACACCTTTTGACTACTATGATGTGAAAATATTAAACAAAACAGAGATTCATTTCAAAATACAAACACATTGGAAGAGTAGAAATGACAAAACAAGTGATCTTATTGTCCGAGTGCCAATTATCTATTCTACAGGCTATCAAAACTACAAGATACCAGATATCGGCATCGACATCAAGTGTCGAGTAGAAGAAATGCTAATGGAACAATCAAATCACTTGATAAACCACAATTAATCATGTTTGGCAATGAATCCACCGACAGAACTCGGATTATTCAATGTATGAACTGGAATGCAGATAGTCAATGTGGGAGTGGCTTAGATTATCAATTTCCCAATTTTCATGAAAATGAAAGAGAAGGTTATTAATTTAAGAGAGTAGCAAATCTTTCTTCGTCAAGGATGATGGGATCTATTCATTCTATAAATCATAACTCTAGGGAAGATGAATATTTTCGGTTGAAGTTAAGACATCAAAAGACAATTACCAACAATAAGCAACTACAATCCTCAATATTAACAACGTAAATATACGCACCGAATAAACATGTTAATTGACATTGTGTCTCATCAGTCTAGTTCAGGTGTGAATGAAGGAGTTCACAGTAGAATGTGAACTCATCTAGCTGAATAGATTCACAGAAGATCAGATGTGTTTGTTGGATTTTCTTTGCTGTCCATTATTCAAGACATATCCGTTTTATAAATGCAATTATACTTAGGTATCCATTTGTTAATTCACATTACTGTCAATATTCAGTGATTTATTTATGAAACACTTTTACTAACGAAATGGTTTCTATGGTCTTTATAAACGACTGTAAATGGAGTTACGGGATTCGGTAATCAGAAATGAATTTCTAAGTGAAAATTGAATAGAAGTGGAAGTATCGAATTGTTCAATGACAGAACGCGTTTTTCGGAAACACTTGAATATCATAATGAAGTTGTATATTTGAATGAAGTTTATTATTAGCTAACATCATTGAGTGACGTTCATTTAAATAAACATTGACAAGTATTACGTGTTGAATAGATGTTTCGTAGTGGTGTGGAACTATAAACGAGTGAACAACTAAGACTTCAACAAGAGTCGATTTTATGATCATTAATTTTATTTTCAGTGATTAATATTCTTAAATTCATTCAGTTGGTGGTATTATAAAGTGGTCTTTCATTGCTACTAGTGATCATTGGCAGGATGATGATTGCTCACTACTGACTAGTTGCATACTTGGATGAGATGACAGTCCAATACTTCTAGGTCAAATAGCGACGGAAATGAGGAGATACAACTTAGCAGTACAGGGAATCAGCGAAACTCTGGAAGATGTAGAATCCTTTGCATACCTGGGAAACATCATCTATGAACAAGGAGGTTCAGATGTAGATGTGAAGGCGAGGATTGGCAAATCAAGGACCTCATTCCTACAATTGAAGAACATATAGAACTGAAAACAACTTTCAACCAATATCAAAGTGAGAATCTTCAGTAGGAACGTCAAGACAATTCTACTGTACGGAGCTAAAACTTGGAGACTTTCTATAGAAGATTTTGTTCATCAAGATGCAATGTAAACGGCAAACATTTCCAGAAGTCCTTAAAAACCAAAGGTTTCGATGATGAAGAGAAACTTTTCAGATTGTTTTTCTTTGTTTATAGACTAGTACATTTTTTGAAAACAAAGCTCTGTGTGAAACTTCATTTCTTGAAGGAGCCTTGCTTCAGTTTATGATTCTGTTTCTCCTATATATAAACCATTTCAATACACATTTAAATGCTCTTCATCGTATGATTGGATTATTGAAGCATACATTATGTAAATCTAATGTAGAGTGAAAGAATTCCTCCACAGATGAATCACGACACGATTGTGATTGTTTAGAATACTTAAAATGATTTAATTTAATTTTACCCTGCTTAAGATGATCGCATGTAAGTATGATGAAATTCATGTTTACAACCTTTCCTCTCTCTTTTCCCATCTTTTCTTACTTGTCCAATCCATGTTTGCTAACAATATGTCTGTTAACATTGATTACTGTACATGCTGAACGATCAATCACTTACCTTAATATCCTAGAAATTTACTCAAACTATCAAATCAATCGGTAATCGGACGATGAGTTGAAACTACTTCAAAGCAATATTCCGTATAGAAATATATTTTCGGATATAAGACACTTTTATAAGTATATTCAATGTTCAGATATGGTAATTAGATGATGAATGATTTATGTCATAATCATTTTACAAAAGTATATAAAATCTGTAAGACAAAAAGAGATACATTAATTCATATCTAATCAAAGTGTATACAATAAATAGATATCAAATCTTATGTTTTTTGATGACATCATATGTACTTGGTCAGTTTTTAATATGGTATTATTATGATTTTGAGATGGTGGAGAATATTTGTAGCTCTCAGGTGGATGATTTTGATGGAGTTTTGTTCTTTAGGCATAAACTTCAGGTAGATGTCGTTCAGAAGAACGATGAAAGTTCCATGACTGAATTATCCAGCTCAGTGATACTACTAACATACCTATTCCTCATGTTCAATATATAACTTGCTAATTCAACTAATGCTTCTCAGGGTGTATACCGTTTGATTCACTTTATCTTAATATATATTGTAATGTCGATTATTATGTTAAGCCCATATACCTTATTCTAGCTTTCGAACAGCCCATTCTATTTATTCTAATTGAGTCACATTCTGACCTTGTTAATTACTCACTCATCCATCTTGAGTGTTTTTACATGAGCGAGTAGGCGTATGGACATTTCTTATCCCACTACTCATCACATGTCTGTAACTTACTTTTATTTAACTATAAATATTGATGAACGCTTGATTAAACGGGTGTTGTCTTACCAGCCATCTTCACTATGCATCGTTTCTCTTCTCTCTATTCCATTAGCTTCATATACAAAATATATTTATTCAAAAGTTCATTCTCGTTATTTGACTGCGATTGTCCAGTCTATTTTTTGTCAAATAACTAATACACTTTTTACGTTTGAGTCTTTTAGAATTCAGAATTGTAATCATGTGCAAACCCTTTATAGTAGCACTTGAGTACGTACAGTTAGTAATCATAATTAATCTTAAAGAAGAAGATGGACATTTCTTATCCCACTACTCATCACATGTCTGTAACTTACTTTTATTTAACTATAAATATTGATGAACGCTTGATTAAACGGGTGTTGTCTTACCAGCCATCTTCACTATGCATCGTTTCTCTTCTCTCTATTCCATTAGCTTCATATACAAAATATATTTATTCAAAAGTTCATTCTCGTTATTTGACTTATTTAATTCCGTTATTGACTAACGCGATTTAAGTCGATGATTATATACGAGAATAGGCAATTACAAACATTCATGCGATCTAATTGCAGTCAGATCTCGGGCCACTAAAGTGGAGAGCCCTTTCGACAACATTGTTCGATCTAAACGACGATTTAATAACGAGCCTCCACAGTCTTCTAAAATATGCATTCAAAAAGAGTATAAATTATCAACAGAATGAATTTTAACAGCTAAAATGAGTTTGATCTAAAGTTTCACTGCTACTATTTCATAGTGTATATGTATCAAAAAAATTTATTGGGGCTGATTATATATGACATATTTACAAGCGCTCAAAAAATAAATCTTTCTGAGTACAACCCATGTAACTCATTTCGCTCAAGCAGTTAATCTGGTATACATAAATCTATGAGTCCATTATTGGTATTTCATCCTTGATTCTTTTTGCAAATAGTGTTTTAATAGAGAAGATAACATGCAACTTAACACCGTCGAACATCATTTCTAAAGGACTAAATCGGTATGTCAGTATGTACTGTCTGTGATACTGCCACCACTTCTGTTACTTTGGAATTTGTGTTGATAATTTCAGTTTAATGTGCAAATTCAGTTCGGAAAACTGAAGTGATGCACGTATGTATCATTTGCTATGTTACGTATATTTGATTAGCTCTCTTGTCATGTCACTTTTGAAGAAGTCGGTTGCTTAAATTATTACTAGTCCCATATCTTCTCATTACGTAGATAGAGAGTGTCAAAGTAAGATCGATGAAGCCTTTTCGATTTTATACCAATTCTTGAACAAACTACTTGAACAAGAAATGTCGTCCCTCCTAATAATAGTTAAAAACATAGTGATTCACTCCGAAAAACCTAACTGATATTTACAAATGCGATATATTTAACCTATGCGTTTACGACCATTGGGTTATCCGATACATAAGCTAAATATAAAAAATCTTAAATCTTGAAACCTTTTTACGTTTATTTCTCCCCTGCTTCATTCACCTTACTCAATCCATGTAAATTTTATCTTAAATAGAGCAAGAACAAAGATTGGTGCAGAATAATATGAATTCATTTTATTTCGTTTAGGTTCACATCAGCTGCTTACAACCTAAATTTCTCATCACCTTTATTATCATAATTATCCTGACAACATTTCTCTTACAATATATTCGGACAAATTAATTTTCATTATTAATATTATATCAGTTTATATTACTATTCGCCTATTGTGTTTCTGAATTACTTTATTGTATGAATTGTAACTTGATACTTCACAACGAACTTGTTTTTTCTTAGATGACCTTCTGATTTACAAATAACATATTTTTGATCCATTTAAGCCGTAACCAATGCATATGCTCACTGTTTTAACATTTAATATTTTTCTAATTACCTTA